ATATAAATCAGAAAGGATTTAGCCACACGTGTATATATATGTAGGAACACACACACCTCCCTTTTCTAAACCAACAGAACCAACCAATGTAAAGCATGATTCCCCCAAGATCTGAGTTTATAAAGATCCTGTTTATTATACCCCTGCCTCATAGCAGAAAGCTAAATGCCTCATTACCCAATTATGGCTACAAAATAACTCTGTATCATTCTCATTTTTACAAATGAAGCACTGAGGCAAAACATAAATTGATTGCTCAGAGGTCAAATTACAGTTGACCCAGGATTGAAACCCAGCCCAAATCATTATGTACCAGATGATGCTTCTATAGTTCGGCTCTGAAATCTAGCTCATATAAAGGGAAAGAGGAGATTTTCTTGAAACTGAGATTTTGTAAGAGCAGTGGACATCTTTAAGGTCATACACCATCCTTACACTTCAGTCTTTAAAAACTGGAAGAATACAAGACAAGACTGAAGACATGAATGAGAGTGTGGGCATTTTAAAGTTAAAGGTGTWAGGCAGAAATCTTGCAACAGGGAGAATTAAGATAACAACGTAAATCAACACAATTATGCTAATATACAATGGGCATAAATGAGATGGAAAAGAAGCACCAGAATAATTTCAGCTTGTTTGCACTTTAGATCCCCACAATGTTTGTGTCTATGAAYCAGTAACCCATAATTCATCATAGAGAAAAAGAAACAAACAAAAAACCACATCAGAAAAAGAATTTGCCTGTTTGATATTTGGAATGAGAGAAACTCATTCCAAATGAGAACTCGCATTCTGTGAGTTCCTTTCCTTTCTCTCCCTTAGGGGGAAGTAGAAAATTTCCTCAGATGTAGAAATATATTCCATTATTGCATCTCCCCTATTTTTCCACAACACTGGTCATATTTTAAATGCAACTAAGCATCTGAATAAAGTATGGAGAACTTCAAAAGTGACAGATGAATGAATCCAGGCACTTTTTGTGGTTTCTGTTCCCTATCTCAGTTTGTGCTGATTTATTCAGGATTCTTCACTTCAGACAGTTTTTCATTCATTTCAGCATCCTCTCATTGACCATAAGATCCCTCAATTTGCATATCAACTTCTTCTGTGAAACTTTATGAAAGCTGTACTCAGATATAAGTCAAACAGATCTATAGCATCCCCAGTCTCTAATTTCTTCATCCCACTTGCTCCATGATTAATTCCATCACATGCTTCTGACAAGATCTAATTCTCTAAACCCATGGCTCTTGGCTACTGCRTAAGAGACTTTTATCTAACATGCTAACAAGTTCATCCTTTATGAATAATTCTAGAAATCTTTCCCAAAACAGCAGTTAAATCTGCTGGCCTGTTGTTCTCTGCTTCACAACCTGAGTTAACTGGCAGTGAACAAAATGTCAGAATTATACAATTCTGGCAGTGTCTGATCAATGAAGAAGTCCTCTTAGTGCTTTGTACCTGCTTAGTGTTACATCTATAAGACAAGGTTTAGGTTGTGCCTTGTCATCTTATCTGCTGTGGCATCAGTGCAAGATATAGCAGGGAAAGAGACAGCAAATAAATTGACTTCAAAGGCTGTTATGAGAGAGAGGATTTAGGGAGCAGGGACTTCTTTCCTGGGATGATATCACTTTCACAGAGTAGTAGGAAAATATGGATAAAAATGTGAAAAAATTAACCAGTCCACCCATTTGCCCAAGTCACATTACCACTGTATTTTTTCAGACTTACRTTTTTTGTCTAATGTCTCTTTAAGGACAAACACTGACAGATCAGCATAAGCTCCAGTCTACCACAGTGCTCTATTACCTTCTGTCTGACCAGAAGCATTTGGTGGGATTCTTCACTGAAAGATGGCGTAGATAAAAATATTGTAAATGGCTTAAAAAGTAATTAAGCTACATTCAAAATTTAAACCAAAAAGGCAGCTAAAAAGCATGATGCTGACACATCTTTGAACACAAGAATTCCCTAAATTCCGAGTTACTAAACTCTGTGAAATACATCAAGAAGCATTTTTTTCTATACCTTGTTTTTGCACTCTTTCCCTAAACACTCACTGCTTGTTAGTGTTAGGGACAAGATATTGAACTAGACGGACTGTTCAATGCACTATTGATAATTTTTTGTTCCTATCATCTTGCTGCTCTACACTGGACTCTCTCCAGTGGGCCTGCATCTTTCCTGAAAAATGACTATCAATTCCAAAGCATCCTGGCTCACACTGGCAAAAGCTCCATGTTGCAGTCATCTTGCTGCTGTCATCTTGCACTATGTAGACCTGCACTGGCACCTCCCCTGTCACCACTCCTGTCACATTTATATTTCTACTTGCTGAGTAGAGGCCTTTATCATAAATTCTCCATGATGGCCTAAAAAATGCTTCTTTAAACTCGTAGCTTCCATCCATCTGCAAAAATATCCTGATGTCCACAAAGGTTCTTGGGATGATATCTATTATCTGCAGTTAGCTCATCTTTTTGCAGCAATTTTGAGTCCCTTTAACCATTGTTATCTACTCTTTGTATTAGTATTATTCTGTATGTTCCTTTGTAAGGACACCAGTGAAACATCTCAGCTCCTTTAGAACTGCTTGCCYTCACCTAGGAGAAAGAGCTCTTTTTCAGGAACTGAATTTTTCCCTCTTTCTTCTTTTATCACCAAGGCTACAAGCCTTGGCAACAGGGAAAACAGAACATCTATTTATAGAACCAATGAGTGAGAAGTGCAAAGACCTAGAGATGGACCAATTAGTAACTACTCTGTCTCGTTAGCATTCAGTTTCTGATGGAATACAAAAAGGCAAATCTGAAGATCATCTGCATGAGATACTGGGAACAACGAGACCAATCTGATACTGCCCAAGGAAAATATATAATGACAAAACAGTATGGGATCTAAAATTGGATCCTGTAGAACCCCAGCATTAATGAATGTTTCATTAAAGAGGCTTAACTGCAACAAGCGGGCTCCCCTAGAAGAAATACAATTCATGAAATGCTAGATAATCCAGAAGAGATAGTTAATCTCTGCTGTAGTAACTGATGTTCAATTATAACAAATGATGCAAACAAATACTAAAAGAGTGGATTAACATGGTGTTTTTTAGTAAATATGTGATGAGAGCTCTGCTGGATACTTCTATTAAGCATCTGGGGTGAATGACAATGGAAGTCAGCACTGAAATTTCTTGCACATGTTGATTACTAGAGGATGTTCTTCCACCTGAACTACAGCCTCATCTTGAATAAATGGGTTCTAAAGTAGGCTATATGAAAACTAACTCTCCATAATAAACACTGATCAATTCAGGATGTATCACAGTTAAATCCAAACACATAATATGAAACATGATTAAACAGACATAATAGAGGAAATGGTAGACTATCTGCAGGTAACAAAATCAGTACAAYACTGATTACAAACAACCACTTCAGAACAAATGCAAATCTTCTATTACTGTGTTGCTGACTAATRGGTTAGTTGAAAACAGGCCTAGGCCAAATTTTTCCATAAGAATTTATTCAAGCTGCTGTATTATTCCTTTCTTTTGAAAGCACAGTACTATTTATTCATGCTGCCCAGAAAATTACAGCTAAAATTTCTACTGCTTAAAATTGTATTAATGAAATACCAGTAAACACTGAGTGGCAAATAAACACAGCTTTAATGCCCTTGTTCTGYCACATGGTCTTTGTACAGGAAAAATCAAGAATTTATTAGATGGACAATGAGGCTTAAAAAAACAGGGAGAGTWGCAGTTCTAGGATTAGGACTGACACTCAGATCCTTTCTGGAGATTTCTCCTCCTGTAGTTTTGCCTAGAMAGTTTAAAGGCTGAGGGTCTCACCTACTGTACTGGCATTAATTGAGAAGAGCTTGTTGCAGACCTGAGCCATCTGATYCACCTGGAGATTCTTTCTCACTCTTCTCAAATGCTAATGTTTAAATTTCTACCGTCCCCATTATACTTCCCAGCCTTTCACAGCTAGGCAAGTTTTAATTTCWCCAGCAATCAGACTGTTCTCCTTAAAAGGCTCCTGGGCAATTCCATCTGCCACAAGAGCAACAATTCACTCTCATCAACCAGGCTCTTCCAGAAGTAATTTTGTCTCTTTGTATGGGGAGTACTGTGTGTTCTAGTGAAAACCAGATAATTCTGACTTTTTCTAGGTGATTACATTCATTAGCTGCAAATACAGAGCTAACATTAACATCATCTTATTAAAATAAATTACAAGGAAATGAGTTTGATGATTAAGACCCTAGAATAAAATCTCAGCAAACTCACAGCACCAGTCTTTGAGAGCCCTCAAAAATTACAGTACCTTTACACCTAAACTTATCCTGCTCTTTACTTTTTTTGTGGTCCTTGGGCAGGAACTCTGTCCGTTGAATTTACTGCAGCCATCACTGCTGTGCCACAAAAGACATCCAAAGAACAGGGAGCAGGGGTAGAGTTCACTGCAGAGTCAGGAAGAGATGGCACTAAACACACTCTGCTCATGCCTTGGAGGTTCACTTAGGTAGCCATTCAATTACTTGGCTAGCAAACGACTGTCAAAAGGGGAAGGATTCAAATTGAGTGTATTAAAAAGATGAGCTGTAATATAAAATGGTGCTCTTATGCAGTCCTTTGAAAGGATAGTTTRGGACTTTTCAGTATACTATTCTTTACTAGCAATGGAGAAGAAAGAGCTGGGCAAGTATATGTACACACACATGTATATATATACTCACATGCTTGCATGTGTTTGTGTGAGTACAAGTTCCAAGGAAAAAAACCCACATTTGTGAGGAAGAGGGAAGGGACTAGTCCTGTGTCCCACATCCTCATGCTGTTATCAGCCAAGACTAATCACCGAACTTCGGGGCAGGGCATACTTTAACAAAGCCGGTTTCTCACACCTTCAAAACTACTGCTGAGAACATCCTTTGTCACACCCAAAGTCCCCCAAGCACAGAGAAAACTGGCAGGTTGGATTCATGGAACTCACCTGCTTTATGGCACTTCCCACCTCTGCTTCCTCCCACAACTTCATTATAAACCTGATCCCAGCTGCTGTCAGGTCGCAGCTGCTCTCCCCATGGCTCCCAAATGTGTAGCAGATCTAAAGAATGTTCAAAGACAAATACATAGCAGGAAAAATGTCAAACAATCATAGCAAAACAAATAAAAAAAAAATCCTACCTACCTAATCACAAATGAGAAACTTCCTGTTTTCTGAATTCTTCACACCTTTTTCTTTTTCAGTTTCAAGTGTACCCATTAATTTGTAGATTATAATAAATCCACTTCTGATTAGTCTAAGTTCTGCTTTTTATGGCCTGCAGCTGAAACAGTGCCCTTCTCCCAGAACTAATTCTGTTCACTGATAAAGGCTTTGCTAGTATTTGAAATCTTTAGAAAATGTTGCATATTATTATTCTCTCTTTGGGGCATTCAAAATACCAGGACACATGATAGTCATATTGCACCAATGTCTGGCCAGACTTAAAACAGACCATGAAAGTGAGAGTGTTGTTTATTTTCCTCATCCTTCCATTAGAACTGCTTAATAGGTAAAAGTTCTGCCACCAAACAGAAGAACATCTTGTTCAGTGTCAGAAGAAAACTCATAACCCCAAACCACACTCTCATGACCTGAACCGTGCCCCTTGCTGAAAACTGAGCAAGCTTCCTTTCCTACTTACTCAGAGTCTGGTGCTGCTCATTTTCAAATGGGCGGCACTGTTCCCATCTACTCCAGTTCACAGAGCTGGCTCCTGGTTTGCTGGTTGATTCCAGCTTCAAAGGATTACATTGTTTTCATCCCGAAGGCTGAAAGCAAGGCAGTTTTTCAGTGCTTTGGACCATATATATGAGCCTATGTGGCACAAGCAGCAGGCAGAAGATTCRTCACACAGTTCTTTTGTGGTTTTGTAGGAGAAATAAGATCACAAACTGGGGTTAATTGGTTCACAAGTTTGAGACTGAATCATATCACTCATTAAAAAGTTTGTCTAAGGTCTATGAATGATCACAAGAATGCCATCCTTTGTCTCTTTGTGGCCCCTCCCCTAAATATTGCCATTTTCAGGACTAGTTCTCCAAAAATTCCAAAATAAGCAATGATCTGAAAATTTGCTGAGTCTCTGGGCTAACACGCTGACTTGCTGTTATGATGTTAGTGAGCAAAGGTGCTGGAATACACTGTTCACTGATCTAATTGCCTTGAAAGAATAAACCCAAGGAAGAGCCCTAGTAGGTCATGGGCTTATTGTTTTAAAACTTTATWAAAGGCAAGGTCACAAAACTGCAGTTTCCCTCGACATTTTTTTTTAAACTGTCAATCACAGCTAGATATATAGTAAATAAAGTTGAACTGACTACTTTACAAGAAAGTATCTGGCTGGAGGAAATAACATTGTGAGCTAATATGTAGATCATGGAGCTTTGCAAAAAAAGTTCTTCACTTGGTCAAAAGCCCAGCTCCAACTGTTCTAATTTGTGATGTTAGAAAACCATTGCTAATTTCTTATTAATAGTGATATATGCACCTTCCTGAGCACACTATCACTAATGAAACCAATTGTTAATTACACATCCTCTCAAAAAATAGTTTTTAAAAACRAGCATATTTGAGAGAGAAGAGATTTGCAAAAGTCATTGTTTTATAAGCAATCTGAAAGATGAAATAGGGTGCAAGGAAAAGGTCATAAAACAGGCATCTCAATAATTTAATTTATTTTTTKGTCTCTTATGAAATTTCTGAAAAGTTTGCGTCCATGTAAAAATTCACGTCTTATTTGAGTTACACAGTGATTATGTGTGTATGGAATTTCTCTTAGGGACAAAACTCCCTGAATTTTATCAGTTTTGTGTGACAGAAAAAAGAGAAAGGAAGTAATAACAAATCAAAAAAGATTACTACACTTTGAACTCTAAGAAAAGGTGATTAATCATCTGTTACATATCAAGCCTCTTTATCAGCTATTTCTCTGACAGCACAATACAACAGTGTTTCCACAAAATAGGAAAATTTCATTTTGACACAGAGGTGGTTTTGCTGCTTAATTCCTGGTCATATAGAAATTATGTAAGTGTTGAGAAAGAGCATCTTCTGGCTGCAGAATCAGTCTTCAATGGCCATTACAAGTAATTTAAATAGGATAAATATGCGCCAACAGGTAGGACAGCTCTTTAGAAATACAATTTTTTGTCTAGCTTGTTTAGGCTTTCCTGTTTTTGGTATTATGAGGAGGAAGCCACAACCTCTCAGTTACTCACTCTTTCCTGACAGTGATTTTGGTARGCTGATCATAATTTTATAAATAAATACATCCATATAAGCCCTTATTTCATTAAACTGCTTTGACTAACAATGACTTTTCAACATACACATTTTTAGAAATTGTGGCCAAACACATGGATTGGTGGCTCTCTCTTCTCACCCAAACATATCCACAACCTTAGTCCCCAGTTGTAAATGGTCTGCATAAAGCATTTTTTTCATGTGAAATAATCCCACAGTATATGACCTTGCAATTTCAAACTTAAATTAGTAGCSGGGAGAAAGACACAGCACCTGTGAATCAGAATGGATTTTCCCAGCAAGTTTCATTTCCTATCATACCCAATTCAATATTAGATACGTGATTTCACTTCAGAAAAGTACAATATTGATTGTTATCTTATGTCTTCTTTATTCAACATACAATATCATCTCAAGGACCCTGATGCTTTTGCAGCTGTGTAAAAGGTGAGGAGTTACATATATGCAGAGTATTTTCAGTGGTGAATTCTTCATTGTGCATGATGCAGGGTCATGGCTGTTCTTCATTCTTTTGGCAAATTGATTATAGCTCCTTAAAGCCTCTCAAGCAACACAAAGCAGACAGAAGAATTACGAGGGAGTTTAGTGCTTTTTACCTTGATAGAAAGAGCTTGTAGCTCAGAGAAGCAGGTAGGAAATTATATATACACACAGCCTTCAGCTGGAGGCTTTCACTGCAAGCTGCATGACTAAATCAGAGGTTTATTAGTGCCTTGCTGATGACTTCGCTTTGAAAATGTACTGGGGTAGGAAAAAGGCTGTTCACTACCGGCTAGGGGGATGTGTAGCTGAAATATTTATCAAACCACTTTAGCTGGTTAACATATGTTATTTAAAGAGCAATCTTAAAAAAATTGATTGAGGTATAACTCTGCTAACTGATTGAGTTTATCATGTGTTTGTTGCATGTTTTACATTTGCTAAAATTATACGCAAGATTTCATACCAAATTTAGATTTCAATGTAAAACTAAATTTCATGCAATCTCTGAGGCTGGGCAGAGCCAATACAATTTTGATAYTGGGTAGCTGAAGTGCTTTTTTCCCATTATCTAACAGATTAGGGCAATTTGGCAGCCTGGCACACTGTTGTGGTTTACCCCAGCCATGAACCTAGCCCCATGYAGACACTCACCTCCCTAGGGAAAGGACAAGCAGGACTGGGAAAGAAAGGGTAAAAGAAAAGAAAGAAAGAATTGGAAGAGTAAAAGCTGGAAAACTTGTGGGTTGAGATAAAGTGAGTTTAATAGGAAAACCAAAATCTGCACATACAAACAAAACAAAACAAGGAATTAAATTTGGTGCTTCACAGGGGCAGGAAGGTGGGAAGCCATCTCCAGGTAGACAGGGGCTTATCACATACAACACCTACTTGGGAAAACAAACACCAAACTGGGTGTTCCTCAAATACGTTAATATCACCAAATGGCATGAACCAAAATCATCCAGAAACAAGCATGTATAATCTGTTCAATGCCTCCTGCATTGTCACAGATTCACTCTTGGGGACAAGTTGCCCTAGGACATACACCTGCTTTTCAAATGGGAACGCCAATCTGGAAGATAAAATTCAGTCTAGACACCTAACCTGTGAGGTTTAGTGGGAACAAGACCAGACCAAATTAGACTAAGACAGAACACCAGGYTGGAAGGRACCTGAAGGACYTTTCTTGTTAAAAGCATTCTCTAGATAAGGTGGAACAGTACCCTGTCCATCTGAACCTTAAAACTATACAGTGTTGGAGAATTCTCCACTTCCCCCCCTCTTCTTAATGGGGAGATTTTTCCGATGTCTGATTGCTCTAATTGTGAGAAACTTTTTACCTGTRTTCAATCAGAATCTCCCAGGGAGCAATTTGTATCCATTACTCTTCCACTTTTCTGTATGGCTATTGGTGAAAAGGCAGTTTTCATGTATAGCCACCCCTGAATACTGGGACATGATGATAAGGTGTCCCCTAAACCTTCTATTCTCAAGGCTGCACAAACCCAGCTCTCTCAGTCTTTCCTCACAGGGCAGCTTTCCAGTCCTTTGATCATCTCTGGGGCCCTTCTCTGTACCCTCTCCAGCCCATTCCTATAAGCTATGATTCTGAGGCACAAGGCCAGATCATTCTTTTAAGGCTGACACAGAATGAGGAGAGGATTAGAAAGGTTGTATTTTACTCAGTTGTAGGATAGGGTTTGTAAATTTTTTAAAGTCAGTTTCATACTTTCCATGCATTTATTAAATAATTTATTCAATCTACAGTGTGTTCTAAACAGTAACTAAATATGYTCTTATTAAGATTTCTGGCACACTATTTCACTGTCAGAGACTGACAATATTCCTTCTTTCTCAGTCACACCTTTTTTTCCCCCTGAGGACTGCTAAGGACTGCTGTATAACTAGGACTTCCAAAAMTATTGATTTACCCTCTGGTTGTCAAAATTCATGCACTATTTTCAAGCACTGACAGCAGATACTTACTATTACATCATTTGCCATTTGCTGGGGCCATTTCTTGCCCRTGTAAATAAGTGTAGTAACACAATAATCTGGAAGGAAAGTCTGGTTCGAAAACTAGATGCCTCAATTGAAGATGTCACAGCAGAATCTGTACATTCACTATTTAATAACAGAATGCAAGTGGCAGCATTTGCAGACAGCAGAATATTTAGGTTGCTCAAGCCTAAAAAAAAGACTGAGAGAATGTCAAAAGGAGAGATAAAACACAGTGACTGCTGTCATTCTGTGACAAAAGCACTGTGTATACTGAATAGATAATTAGTGATTGTAAATCTCCTGTAAGTAAGGAAAGAMAAATTTTGAATTTTAGACATCACTAAAAATACCTACTACATTTTTGTCAGTAGCTAAGTACAAGGTAAACAGAAAGACTGCGATAGCATATAATTGAAAATACRTCATTAAATCAATTATAGGCATTCATCAAAAATAATATTTTCCCTCCCCATCCCTTTTGAGATGGAAATGCAGGCATACAAGRAATCCAAACACAGTTAAAAGAAGTCTGTACAGGAATGGACAACTTTCAAGAGAAAAATAAAT